AGAACCGGGGTGTAAGCATGTGAGAATCGTTTGGTGACTGGGAGTAGTTCTGCATAGGAAGAAAGGGTGGCTGCTCCCTTAAGCCTGAGTCTCGGAGTGAAGACCACACAGAGGCGATCTCGCCACTGACCCGTCATGCAGTGAGAGTGACACATAAGCTCTGCTGTCTTGACCCACTGAGATTTGGGGGGTGGGTTACTGCAGAGTAACCTAGACTCTCCTGACAGATACACTCAGGTTACCCCTTTAAACTCTAGAAAATAAAATATATTATTGGCAACAGTGCATAAAATGTGTAGACAGTAATTTTTAGGGACTATTTTCTGTGTCTATGCATGCATATTATGTGTTATACTATACGTAAGCATCAGGAGACTTAGATTCTTAAGTGAAATAGATTTATATAAAATTTCCAGTTGAATTTATGGTAAAATAAGATTTATTTCCACTTCAGATAGAGGAAATCAACATACCAAAATTACCAACATCTTTTTTTGAAGGGAGTCAACTGCGATGCCAAAATCAGGATTGAGTTCAAGGCCTGATATGATCGATCAAGTAATGGGGTCTTCTCACTGAGAGCTTATTGAGAATGGTGTCTTGTGCAGCAAAGGGTCCTTCTGACAGTATGTGGGCTTTTATCTCCAGTAATAAAATAGTCCACCCCAACCCCCAGAGCACTGTTCCAGTTACACACAGTGGGGTTCAGTACATAGAAGGTCTTAAATAATCTGTGTTGAATAAACAAATGGAAGTAGTCCACAGTTCTCCAAATGTCTGGACACTTTCATGTCTGAATTTTAAAAATAAATGTCTTTATTTTGGACATTAGTTTGAAAAACATGTCAGTATTAAGACATTTATTCTTTTGTAACACTTTATGTGTGACTGACCATAGGCCCACAGATTTAGGCTATTTTATTTTATATTTTTTTTACTGCTGGTTTTATTTCAGCTGATTATTCCATTCGGGTCTCTAAAACTACATTATGGAATACCTTAATTATTTAAATTAGGAATGGATTAATTATCTCCGGCGTACAAACTCAAATTAATTTCATTATTAACTTGAGTTTTAAATTGATTAATCTTGGAGTGTTTAAGAAACCAAGTGAGGTGTTTTTTTTTTATCCTTAAGGAGAAGGGCATATTTGATTGTGATGAATGTCTCTTCATCACACCAATTATGCTAATAGAAGAAATTTGCAAGGAAACTTTGAGGAGATTTCATAAACCAGCCAGAAACCTGTGTGTCTGGGGTTTCTGGGGGAACAATCTGTGAGTCATTTTAAAAAACAAGCACACTCATCATCACAGCACATGTTGTTGCCATGGTAATTAGGCCTGTTGAGTTGGCTTGCTTATGTTCCTGTAAAGGGAAAAAGGGGAAAGAAACTGAGAATTCAGAGCTTTGACTATCAGCTTCAATTATTGCAAGGGAGAATATAGGGTGTTCTTGAAAATATTGGCACAGTCATCCTCAGAGGGAAGTGATGAAACTCTGGCATCCTGCCTTTGTTATTGAATATGTTAGCCATGTTAGTGTTGGATGTTGTGATTCACAGGTGGGAAAAGGACCATTCGGCATTCTCTTGAGAAGGGTTTTTTATCTGATGTATAATTACACCTAAGTCTCTAGGGTCTACCTGGTCAACTGTCTTGTATGCAAGTGCATAGGGTTTTAACAATCCTCTAAAAGACATGAAATGTCACTGGTATAACATTATCGCAGATTTAAAGGATCCTCAGTGCATTATTCTGGTATGGTTAGAGACCAGTTTTAGTGAGGCCCTTGTTTCAGATCCGATCCCCAAGTAAACCAGATATCTTTCCTGTATTTTGTGGAGTAGATGTGACTCCTTTTTCTTAGACAGCCGTCTTATAACGCAGGCCCCTAAGTGACAGAGGAGACCAGGAAGGTTATGTGAGCTCTGCCAAACCCTCCCCCACTCCAGGGGAAAATGAAATTGACACCTCTGTTGATGGACAGTCAACAGTTATTGGGCCAGTGGAGTTGCTATGAGAGTGATTCATTATGATTCTATCCGGAGATCAAACAACACCCTTAGAGTAAAGGTACGAGTTAGTGTACATACAAAACTGTTTTTAAGAATGTTTCTAAGTTCACTTTAAGCAGGTCTGTGTATCCTCTTGACAAATATACAGTAGTCCCCCATATCTGTGCAGGATGCATTTTAAGATGCCTGCCCTTCAGTGGATGCCTGAACCATGGGTAGGACCATACCCTATATGTGTTATGTTTTTTCCTGTACTTACATACCTTTTCACTTACTGGAAGCACTTTATACATTCTCTTTGGCATATCTGAGTTGCCAGTATCACTACTCTTGCGCTTTGGGACCATTATTAAGTAAATTAAGAGTTACTTGAACACGTGCCTTGGGATACCATGACAATCAATCTGGTAACTGAGAAGGCTGCTAAGCAGCTAATGGGCAGGTAGCATATACAGCGTGGAGACACTGGGCAAAGAGACGATTCTCATCCCAGGCAGGATAGAAAGGGATGGTGGGAGATTTTATCATGCTACTCAGAATGGCATATAATTTAAAATGTATGAGATGTTCATTTCTGGAATTTTCCATTCATTATTGTTGAACCATGTCTTACCATGGAAAGTGAAACCATGGATAAGGGGGAACTACTGTGATACATTGACTAGAGTTTTTAAATTTTGTTTTGTTTTGTTTTGTTTTGAGTATTCCTCAAGCAGACTTTAAAGCAGATTTTATTTAGAGATAAACTACTTTCCCTTATTAAAACTGTTTTTCAAAAGGTTTCAAATAAAGTGCCACAGGGTGTGACTGAGGGTCATATAAACTCGAAGTGTGTTTGTAATCTGTGCACTGGCATATGATGTAACAACTAGTTCTCAAAATGATAAGTTCCATTTTTTCTCCTATGTGGAAAGAAGGCAAATGTTGCCCAGCCTTCTTCTGTGCTACCTTCACTTTCTTAACATTAGTAAACAAAGCTTACATTTTTCTTCTGACAAAGTAATTCATGATAATTACTGAACATTTGGAAAATGCTTGGCAAAAGTAAGAATGAGCTTTTCCATTAATTAGGTTGCTAGTTGAATTGCTTGTAAGGGACCAGATTGCACAGCGGCCGACAAGTGCTGGGAGTTGCTCCTTTTTCGCATAACAATCCAGAGGTGGGTGGTGCAGGGCTGGTAAACAGTCCTACTGTACAAGATCGTCAAGGAACCCGGGCTTCTTATAGCACATTGTTCTGTCATTCCTATCTTGTTTCCCTTGCTTTATGGTGTAATGTGGCTTGCCATGAGGAGCCTGCTATAACTAGTGAGAAGGGAGAAAGGTGAAAGGGAAAGGCATAACCCAGAGATGCGCGTATCACTTTTGCAGCCATTCCTTTGAAATTTGACTCATGGCCACATGCATAGCAGCAAGGGAGGCTGGGAAAAGTAGTTATTTTTGACATATATGTGGTATGTGCTACTTATAATTCAATTATAAGCATGGAATAAGAAGAGAGCAGATATTGAGGCATATCTGGCAATTTCTGCCACTTTAAGAATGTTGTGTATGCAAAATATAGAAAATATATTAGAAAAATCATGTATTTGTAAAATGTATATTAGAAAAATAGTTGAGGTCATACTGTATATAAAAATTTATATTCTCTTTCATTTAACTTTATATCATGTGCATTTTTCCTCATTTAAAATTTTTTTATTCATTGTTTTAAGGTTCCACTATGTGGAAGTTCTCTGTTTTATTTAATATAAAAATATATAGATTGTGTTTGGTATCCAGGCTCTTTTGAACACATGGTAGTAATTCTTTTTCTGTATTTTGGATTTTATTTACTTATTTTTTAATAAAGTCAAGGAGTGACATTACTAAGACAATAATTGGGAATGTATTTGAGGATCTTGATAAACAGCACCGACCTGCTCTCCAGGGAGGCTCTGCGGGTGGGTTTATGCTGTTGGCAATAATGTATAGGTGCAGTGCACCCTGGCACAGGCTTATTTTGCAAGTCCCACTAATCATTGTTATTCGTAGGGTTCTCTGAAAATGGATTGTTTTTGCTCTTGGCTTGTTTTTTTTCCTTTGCTGTCATTAATCATGATAATAGTTTTCTAATAACTTTGGCTCATTTGAAAACACATGATCCCTTAAATTTGTCTGGGAATTTAATTGGTTGGGTTGAGATTGAAGCACATGGGCCACTCTCCAGCAACGTGAGATCTCTAGAGACACGGATGTGGATTTGGTCCTAGGACCTCATGAGAGTGGGATTTTCACCCTTAGTACTTTGGATGTGAGGTACCTCTTTGTTGTGAGATACAACAAAATAATGGTGAAGCACTCCCTGAGACACAGGCAATCCCCTTTGAGCTGGGTGCTGGGTAGCTTTCCAGGAGTAAAGGCGCTTCTGAACATAGGAGCTATGAACCCTACTCAGGCACAGTAGGCCAAATCTGCTCAACATCCTCAGAGGTCGTTAGTGCCTTGGGGTACAGGTGCTTCTACTTTTAAACAGCCTGCAGAAGCTTTGGATGCTAAAGATGCTTCTGCAACCACTGCCTTGTTCATCTACCCTCTTAAAGTGCTAGACGCACACACAGAATACTCCAACTCTGCCCCTAACACCCAGAGAAAGAGCGGCTCTGCCTCTGCCACTTTGGTCCTGCTGGGAGCAAATCGGGTGAAGGCAGGAGGAAAGCTTGTTTTTACTCATCTCACCGGTACACAGCCTCTGTCGGGATGTACACAAAGAAAAGAACTCCTATTTGCACAGATACATTTGTTGAAAGGAAAAGAGTTAACAAAATGTCTGCTTCTTGGCTCAGAAATGTAAACCTGTTAGACCTTCCTGCTCTCAGAGCCATTTGGCCATCAGCACCTAGTCCCCCTTACAGAAATATTTGTTTGCTTGTTCAGCTCTTACTTGTCATGTTATTTCTCCTTTTTCTAAACAACACACTGTCCTCTTTGCTCTTTTGACAGCCAGATCTGCCAGCGAGCCTCAGGCGGCAGGAACTGAAAAGGTAAGGATTCTGAAATACTTTCTTCTAGGATCTTCTTGAATCTCACCAGAACTTCAAAAGGAAAATACTTATCTTAAGTGATGCTATAGATGAAAACATTTAACATGTGATATTTATCAGACATTCATAGCGTCTTTAGCAATACTGACATGGCTTCAGGATTTCAGGGGGGAAAATGGCTCTCCTTGAAAGCAGACTTCTCTCCCAGACTTCCTCCTTTTCTTTGAAAAGCCCGAGTTGGAGACCTTTGAGGTCACTGCCTGAATGAACCAAATCTATCTCTGTGGCACCAAACGTGACTAACCGGGTGCAGCCATCCAGGACGTACCCTGGGAAACAGAGCCGTTAGCTAGGTCAGAGGTTAGATCTGAGACCGGCGAACCCTGTTGTCGGCAGACTGGAGGCGCTTTTCCAGCAGCAACAATAATGCACACAACAAAAGGTCAATTTAGTGCTGGTGGGTTTCTTCTCGAAGGAGCTGAGTTGGCTGTTGAAACCAGCTACAGCCCTTTTAACCAAGCTGTAGATTTGAAAAGTTACTCATCAACTGCTGAGACAGTGCTGGTGTGCACAGTCTCCCCAACCAAAACACACACTTTCCTCTAGTCAGTGACGTGGATTGTCAGCCTCCCTTTTAAAATTTAGCAGTATTGTGAAAAGTTGCGAGCATAGACCAAAATAGAATAATATAATGAACTTCCACATCCGTATTCATTTAATTTTAACAGTTTTTAACTCATGGCCAGTATCGTTTGCTTTATACACCCACCTCTTCTTTCCTCATTGGATGTATGACAGTGGCTTGAATTTGGTTGTTGAATCTTTAATTTTTTTATTTGCATAATTATTCAGTAGCTACAGCAAAATGCTAATAAGAAATAAAACCTACCTATAAACCGACTTCATTTTCTGGGGCTAGTCATTCATCCATTTATTCTTCCAGTAGAGATTTAGTATTTACTAGTGCCAGAAACTTCTTGAGTAAGAGAGCCAATTTCCCCCACCTGACAATATGAAGTCCCCAATTTGGACTTCCGGTGTCTCCGAGTGGGGCCCTCTGTTGGAGATACACTGACAAAATGAAGAGATGACATTCACTGTGTCACTTTAATTGTTGGATGTCAACATTTGAAATGTGCCACAATTTTTAAAACCTGTTTTGACATTTTTTCACTTAAGATACTGTAAACTTAAAAAACATAAAACACTTTTCTCAACTCTCTTCGTACCTTCTTATTTTATCATAAGTGTTTGTCCAATTATCTGCCTCCCTTTCAAGAATATAAACTCTGAGAAAATATTTTGCCTTGAGTCTCTAGCGAGGTGGCTGGCACTTGTTACATATTTAATACAACTGTTGAAGGAATGAACAAATAAGTGAATGCCAGATGCTGGGAATATGAAGATGAAAAACACACAGACCTCATCCCACAGTTGCTCAGTCTCATGGGAAAGAGAACCTTGCAAAAAGGAGCTCTCTGAGCAGAGTGCTCTGGGTGAGAGAGGAGAGGACTAACTTGGTGGAGAGTTTGGCAAGAGGCTTGATGATCAAGGAGGCATTTATTTGAGCTATGACACAAAGTGCCACCAGCCAGAAAAGTTAGAGAAAGGCATTCTGGGAATAAGGAATCACATGTGAAAGAACACAAAGGCCCCAAAGAGCACGGTGGAACCTTCAGCAATTTACAGTGGTGATGGCACGGTTGGGATGTAGCAGACTGAAGAGGTGGGGCTTGAGGAGCGGGCCGATGAAGCAGGGGTAGGACTCTAAGTGCCAGGTCCAAGAGTAGATTCTAGTTTGGGTGGGAAGTCAGAGAAGGTTGTATAATTCTCTTGAAAGATAATTCCTTAGGCTACCTAGTACAGTATGAAGATGTGGAGAGAGACTAATGGAAAGGAGACCAGTCAGGTCTTGAGTTGGGAAATGATGGGAGAACTGATAGAACTGCTGATTAGGGATAAGAAGTGAAGGGACAGCAGACATCTGGAATGACTGCCAGATTTCTCCTTTGGGAGATGATATGGGTTGTGCTAACTGGGATACAAATGCAGGAAGAAAGGATTCAACTCTGCGGAGTGGCCACAGCCAGGTAGATAAGTCCAGTAGGCTGCTCATGGTTGGGTACCGAGCAGGGGTTCACAGCTCGGACAGCACATCAGAATCTCCGGGGGAAAGTTCAAAAGCACTCCTATGCAGGCCTTTCCCAGACCAGCTGAATCAGAATCCCTGGGGGAGGGGCCTGGGCATCTGCAGTTTTTAAAAGCTTTCCAGGTCTTTTAATATGCAAGCTGGGTTGAGAATCTCTAGTCTAGAGCTTATTAAACAAAAGACCTTTGTATGTCTGCTTTTAAGACCATGTATAGCCTTTGCTACTCCATATTGAGGTTCTTTTGGGGTTCAGCACTTAATATCTTATAGATGAGTGTTGAGCCATACATTGGACCAAATTTTGCTAATAATAAAGACATTATAATAATGTTTTATAAGTATTTGATATTTTTTGTCTGATATTTGGGTGGATCACTTTCATGCTAATAGATGTCCTTAAATGGTTTCAGTCCAAGCAGAATTTCTCAATGGGGCCTGCAGGTATGTTGGATGGAATGATTCCTCCCTGTTCTCTTTGTTTTCCTGTCCTTGGCCCACAGGAGGCCAGAGGCATCTTCCAGTCATTGTGATATTCAGAGACACCGAGAACTACTGTGTCCTGGTGTACAACTTTAAAGAGGCTATTTGGCATTTTCTACTCTCACCTAAAAGCACTTTGCTTCTTGCAAAATCGTTGGTTTCAGTTATGCTCAGTGGTTCTTTCTGTAAGTGGTCTCTGTGCTAACACACTAAGGAAAGAAACTAAATAAAGCAGATGTGTACAAGGAAGTATTGTTTTATATTGTTGGAGGGATTTTGAGCATATTTACTCTTGTACTAAGTCTATTTTTTTTGGTCTGTACAGAGAAGCAAATTAAACACTAGGTAAGCAATGGTCAAATATTGGCGTTTAAAGCAAAATACTACTAAGGCATCATGCAAATTGAATAGCAACGATGATGAAGTATGTATTTATTTCCTATTGCTGGTGTAACAGACTGTTGCAAACAGTGGTATAAAACAAGACAAATTTATTACCTTACAGTTCTGCAGCTTTGACTCTGTAGGGATCTCTCTGGGCTAAAAGCAAAGTATCAACAGAGCTGTATTCCTTTGCGAAGGCTCTAGGGGAGAATTCATTTCTGTGACTAATGGCTTGTGGAGTCCGCTTTCCTCCATCCCTAAAGGAAGCAACATTGCATCACTGTGGCTTTCTACCATAATTACATCTAATTCCGAACACTTCAGGAAAAGTTCTTTGATTTCAAGGATCCATATTATAAGATTTGGCACCCTTGGATCATCTAGGATAATCTCCGATTGTCAAGGTCCTTCATTTAATCACATCTTCAAAGTCCCTTTACCCAGTAAGGTTACAAGTTCTAGGGATTAGGACATGGACCTACTTGGGGGCTATCATCTACCTGCTCCAAAGTAATTAATTGTTTTAATGCCTCTGGTAGCAGAGATAAGATTATCTCACATTTTATTGAGAAGTTTTAGGGTTCCCAAATGGATGAAGCAAGTCCTTGTCTTGACTCTGCAAATCCTGTCTTCTAGATATAGGCACTGAAGGCTTTGGGTTTTCTTGGAGTGTTTGGCATCGGATCAAGTGGACAGGTTCAAGTCCAAGGGCTCCTTTCTTGGCCAGACTTTCTGGTACTGTGGGTGTGGCCTCTGGAGAGTGTGCTGCTTTTGACATTTTTCCAACTCTGACAAGTTTGCCTACAGTGTGCAGGTTCCAAAGTCTTTGAATAGCAGCAAAGAAATGGGAGATTTTTATTTCATGCTGTTATGTCTGCCTGTCATACTTTATTTATGAGGCTCTAAAATGTGGAAACTGAAAGGAAATAATAACACCATAATTCAGAGCCTCACTGTAATGGTATTTACTATAGCTAACTTCTAGGTGCAGTTTAATTCCCCACAAAAAGCTTGAGCACCGTCAGTCATGGAGGTAAGATCTGGGTTTCTGATGATGAGGGTAGGCCTTGGGTAGAGTTGTGAATTATTTGCATATCCTCCGCAACCCCTTTCGGGGCTCCTTCCTTGTAGGACTCCCAGTCCTGTTTTCATTTTCAGAGCAGCCTCATTTCAGCTTATCACCTCAGTTTGTTTTTGTGTGTGTGTGAATCAAACAAGGTCCAGCAGAAATGAAAGATGGTCAAATCATGATGCTGTCATTTAAACCGATGATTTTATTCTGTTCCAAAGAGAAATTAGAGAGTAAGTATAAATAAGAGATCCAAACGACTGTTCTAGGTGCAGGGTTTCTTTGGGGACAGTAGAACGATCTGGGCACCAGATGGAGGAGTTGACTGCAGACATCGTGAAGGTGCTGAATGCCTTTGAATGGAACGCTTTGAAATGGCGAGTGGTTAATTGTGTCCTATGTGAATTTTCCCTCAAAAAAAAATGTCAATTGAACTTCAAGAGATTTTCTTAAAGACTGCTTCTCATGCTAAGTTCTGGAAGAAGTTTGAATATATTTCAATACCCTTATGTTAGGTTTCTAGATCAAAAGTGTTGTTCTATCCTGTCCCATTACTGGGAAAAGATATTTAGACCTGAGAAGCAGAACCAGTGGGAACAGTCTCTAGGAGGTGAAAGAGGAAGCCTCTGTGCTGGCCAACGTGGCTCCCTCGGTTGGAGCTTTGTCCCATAGTGATGGTCGCAGGTTTGATTCCTGGTCAGAGCACACACCTAGGTTGCAGGTTCTGTCCCCAGTTGGGGGACATAGGAGAGGTGACTGGTCAGTGTTTCTCATGTTGATGTTTTTCTCTCTCCTTTCCCCTCTCTATAGAATCAATAAGCATGTCTACAGCGAGGATTTAAAAAAAAAGGAACATCTCTGAGAGTTAAGACATTATTAAGATGTATAGTTTTTGTTACTGGATTATAGGCTGGCCTG